GAAATTCTCGTTCCCGTCCAGTCCCGTCTTATTCCCAAACGGAAATTGATAGTTTGTAACATACGAGAATATGGTCCTATTCAGAACGGAAATTTAGAACTGGAAATAGGACCGAACGGGACGGTTTGGGATGGGACAGGAATTATGTCCACCCCTAATCGTCACACATCATAATTTATAATAATTAATAAATTCAGACGATTATAAAAAAAAACAAAAACAAAAATAGCTTTTGTTTCGGTTGATCCGAGTTTATAAATTAATGAGATAAACTTGATTTGCAATAGGAGGTCTCTATGATTCTTCGTGGTGGTGTTAATTTTAGACTTGCGTGTTAGGGTTTTAATTTTGTTTAAGTTCTCGCTTCAGTGTGAAAAGGAGTGAGTTTTGTAATCTTCTATTCCATCTTGCTTTTTGAACTTTATATATTTACAAATCAAACGGAAAAACTAGCTTTTGTAAATCCTTTGAGGGTTGTTAGAGACAGTTTAGGCTTGGTTTTGATTTACGATACGTAGAAGATGCTTTGCAAATTGTAAATCCTTTAAGGATGCAAAATTCAAAGTTGTACTATGGACAGTACTGCGGATCATAGACTAAATCAAGTGTTTTTCGCGTAAAAAACCTTCAAGGTGACACACACTGACACTTTAATTTATAACTAACAGTTTAAACCTTCGACTTGACATTATTCACAATATAAACCACCAACGTAGCTGAGTTAACTTCACAATGGAGTTTGAATCAGATCATTTGGAGCTGTGAGCAAGAAGTTACACCCGAAGTACTGAAGACATGTCAAATTGCCTCAGAGATGAAGCAAGTGCAGAAACGAGTCAAGCAACGGGCCAGTCTGTAATGCCCACGATCACTTATAAACAGAAACGCTACAGATGTGCGCTTAATCACTCGTTCCGAAGTTCCAAAAACGCATCTAGGAACCCAAGACTAAATGACTAGACGCACATTTCCTACCGAACATGGTACTAGGCTTTTCAACCCGAGTCATGGCCATTAGTTAGTTCACCCCGGACTAGGACTAGTATCATATGCAATCCAAGGTTTCAACAAATATCCATTTTAATACATTATTATACTATGTTTTTACAATAAGTTACCAAAACACATACATGCCGGCTTG